GGGTCGGGACCCTTCTTCAGAAAATGCTCCTCTGATGCTGCCTGGCCTGCTGTGTTCCTCCAGCTCCACACTGTGTTATCTCTGACTCCAGCATCGGCAGTTCTTACTATCTCTGAGTTTAAATGCTTGTATTTTGTATATTTCTGTGTTCAAATCAGTTTAACACTGAACTGTGCAAAGAAATTGCAATCTGAACTGATGTCATCAGATTTTATGATGTGCAAAATTTTACTCTTTCATGATTAAAGAGTGTTTTATATTTATGGGGCCACATTCTGGTTTTGAATTTTGGAAGTCCCCTGTTCATTGGAGCTTGCAATGTTATAGTTTTATTACCACATTTTCAATGTGGAACGATGACTACAATTCATTGAATCATTGAATCATACGGTACAAAAGATGCCATTCAGCCCATCGAATCGCTACCACCAAAGATACACTGAATCTACACTAGTCCCACTTTCCAACACATGGCCCGTAGCCTTAATCACTTCAAATGTTCATCCAAGTACTTCTTAAAGTTGTGAGGATTCCTGCCTCAGCTACCTTCTCAGGCATGCCTCTCATAATCTTTTCACCTCTATCAGCATCCCCTCAGCCTTCTCTGCTGTGAAGTAAACAGCCCAAACCTATCCAGGCTCTCTTCATAGCTAAACTGCTGCATCCCAGGTAACATTCTGGTGAATCTCAACTGCACCCCCTCCAGTGCAATCACATCCTTCCTATAGTGTGGAGACCAGATCCTCAGGACTCTAACTGTGGCCTGACTCAAGTCCTGCAAAGCCCTGACATAATCTCCCTGCTCTTGTGTTAACTTCCCTTTTAACCTGTCCTGCGACCATCAGGGATTTCATAGAATCCCTACAATGTGGAAACAGGTCCTTCGGCCCAACAAGTCCACACCAAACTTCAGAGCATTCCACCCAGACCCGTTCCCTTGTGACCCACCTAATCTACACATCCCTGAGCACTATGGGCAATTTAGCATGGCCAATCCACCTAGCCTGCACATATTTGGACTGTGGGAGGAAACCCACGCAGACACGGGGAGAATGTGCAAACTCCACACACAGTCGCCCGAGGCTGGAATCAAACCCGGGTCCCTGGCACTGTGAGGCAGCAGTGCTAACCACTGAGCCACCATGATTTGTGGACAAACACCCCAAGATCTCTCTGCTGTTCTGAGCTTCTTAGTGTCCTGCCATTTGTTGAGTACTCCTTTGTCTCCAGAAGTATTCTATTAGCTTTCAAGCACTTTGGGACGTCCTGTGGACATGGAATTTGCTTTTGAATGCAAATTCTAACCCCCTTTAATGCTGTGTACACACATTACAGTCAGTGATATCTGAGGAACATTAGCAATTATACCAATCTAAAATCTTTGACCATTTTATCCTAAACATTGTTAAAATTACTTGAGTATCACAGTATGTATTTGATTACAGTGTTTTCAATTTCTGGGTATTAATTTCTCAATAAAACAATCCCTGATTTTACATGTTGTGGGATCCACAACTGGTTAAAGTCATTTTTTTCCATAAAGTAATTAGTTTCAGATATTTATTAAAATTCTGTCTCAAGCTGAACTGTTTGAATTCCTGTCTCTCTTTGTAGGGGAAAAAGATAGCCATTTGCTCCGATAATGTAACTGATGTAACAGTCCAAGATGTACAGAGCGATCCCAATGAGTTGAGCAATTCTGTTGCTTCTTTTCTGTGCCAATCAACTATCATTCCTTCAGACGGGAGGAGTTTCCGAACTGCACTGTCGTCTCAGTCTATCAGTCTGGCTGATGCCTTTCTAGGTCAGTGACAGTCGAGTAATTTTAGGGCAGAATTGGAGAGGTTTCTTTACCAGAATGTTAGAACATGTCACATTTAATTCAGTAGGATGTGTGATCTGTGTTTCCCAGTATGTGATGGTCCAGATCTTCCAGTCTCTGCATAGTCAGAGATAGGACGTACCATATCAGTCCTGATGCACTGATTATATGGGAATTTCCTTGGAAGTTAAAACTTCAGATGGACAGTTATCCTGCATCAGGAACTCTCTGCAAAAGTCCATGACTTTCTTTTTTGATTTGATTTATTATTGTTACATGTATCTAGGTACAGTGAAAAGTTTTGTTTTGTGAGTGGTACAGGCAGATCATGCTATACAAAGTGCATTAGGGTAATAGAACAGAGCGAAAAATACAATGTTACAGCTGCAAAGAAAGTGTACAAAGAGTGAGATCAATATTAAATTTAAAATTTGAGAGGTCCATTCAGAAGTCTAATAACAGTGGGGAAGAAGCTGTTCTTGAATTTGTTGGCATGTGTGTTTAAGCTTTTATATATTCTGCTCGATGGAAGAGATTATAAGCGGGACCGGAGTGGTCTTTGATCATGTTGGCTGCCTTTCCGAAACAGTGGTAAGTATAGATGAAGCCAGTGGATGGAAGGTTGTCTTGCATGAAGAACTGGATTGTGTTCACAGTTGTCCGTAGTTTCTTATCGTCCTGGGGAGAATAGTTACCGTACCCAGCTGTGGTGCATCTGGAGAGAATGGTGCATCTAGAAAAATTGGTAACACTCTGATTTACAACTTTTCAATCCAGGAATCAGTGCGATGAGCCTTCTCTGAACTGCTTCCAATGCAAGCATATCCCTCTTTAAGGAAGGAAATGGGGTGGCACGGTGGCCCAGTGGTTATCACTCCGCTGCCTCACAGCGCCAGGGGCCTGGGTTTGATTCCAGCTTCTGGCAACTGTCTGTGTGGAGTTTGCACATTCTCCCCGTGTCTGCATGGGTTTCTTCCGGGTACTGTGATTTCCTTCCACAGTCCAAAGATGTGCAGGTTAGGGTGGATTGGCCATGCTAAATTACCCTAGTGTTCAGGGATGTGTAGATTAGGTGGGTTAGACATGGGAAATCAGGGGTAGGGATAGGGGAATGGGTCTGGATGAGAGGCTCTTCAGAGGGACGGTGTGGACTTGTTGGGCCAAATAGCCTGTTTCCACACTGTAGGGATTCTATGAAACCAAAACTGTAAGCAGTATTCTAGGTTCTCTCTCCCTACTCTTACACTTCAACCTCTTGTAATAAAGGCCAGTTTCCCATTCATGTTCCTATTAGTTGCTGTAAGTGCGTGCTGACTTTTTGTAATTATATAGAAATAACCACATCCCTCTGCACTGCTGTGTTCTCTCTGTTGTGTTAATATAAAGTTAGACATTAAGCGTATGATATAAGTGTAAACCACAGTTGGGAACCGCACCGAGTGAATTACTTTTCGGGATGATTTGGTTTTCTGTGGTCAGCAATAATCGTTATTTGGCAGTCATTTATTGCACTTAGACACACAAGAGTTTCTGGGAGTATTTCCACGGAAGCTGCAGCGATTGGACATTTTGAATGGTGTGACATTATCGAGAGGGATTTGGGATGTGTATGAACAGGGAAAGTAAGACCTGGATGAATTTTATGTGGTAGGAGTATCACTCACTTCACTCACCCTCCTGCCCCACTCCAATTGAGAAGGCACTTGGCACCAACTGATCTGACTGCCTTTGGGATACTGCCCCAGGGGTTGGTCAAAATGTGACCGAAGGAAGTCCCTCCCCTAGGCACAGGAAGTTCTTCCCTCAGGTAGCTGCCAGCCAATCCAATTGCCCAGCTAACTGCAGAAACAAGTGACGATCCTTGTTGGGACCAATAGGAATCTTGTGAATAGGAAGGATTCTGGATCCAAGTCTGGAGATTATTGTTGGAGAGGGAATGGGGACCCTGGCAAGGGGGGAGCGGTGGTTGTGTTCCAGAGATTTGGGAGTGTGGAGGATTTGGCAAGGTGTAGGAGCCACAACAGGAGTGATTACCATTTTGAGGGGGGGGGGGGGCGGCAGGGTGGGAGGGTGTTGATGTACCTCTGATGGATACAAGGAATAGCTCCTTAGTTCTCCACACCACCCTACCCCCCCCCGCCCCCTCAACATCTCACACTTCCTGCCTTCCTTCCCACCTTTCTCTCCGAGCTGGTAGAGGTGTAGGCTGGCGATTATGTTTCTTTCCCCACTCTATATCCAAGAGGCAGAGGAGAATGAGGTCCTTGAATAGCCTTTAGTTGTTGTTTTAAAGGCCTGATTAGGCCTAAGTGTGGGTCAGTTATCTTTACCTCCTGTAAAGTGGAGACCGCTTGGGGCTGTGTAAGCTAGCACTGGTCTGGCTGCTAGTTTTATTTTATATGGGCCCCAGGAGGTTGGGGGATGTGGAGGCGATGCAAAATTCACACCATCATTTCACCTTAACCAGTCAGATTGACAAAATCCTACTGAGGGCATGGAGGTGTAGGTTAAAATTTAAACTGAGTGCCAAGTTACACAGAGAGAAAATGATGTGAAGCGTCCTGACCCACTGGGATATTGAGCTGGAAATTAGACCCCATTCTTCTCAGGTTTATGACAACATGATGAATTAGTACCTGAAATCCCCATTCACCTCTGACTGACTGTTCCCGGTTCAAGATGTCGGCGGTCCAGTAGCAACGCAATGTCTGGCTCCTACCCGGAGATCATCTGTTCTGTCGGCTTTTACTTTTTTCTTTCCTCTTCCTTCATTGCTTTTTTCTTACTTTGACCTAATTCTGTGGAGAACTCAGCAGCTTCAGCAAGTTTGATGTGAGGTTTCTTCCCGGCGGTGGTGGAGGGAGGAGAGGTTGGGCCCAGCGCCCAATGAGGGACCCAACAGCTTTAACGGTGGCTGTATTGCTGAGATCAGCCCCAGCACAGACTCATGGCATCAGTTGAAGCAAATTGGCTTTGAAGAATGGCGACACGGTTCTGCAGTGGCATCATGGTGCAGGGGCTCATGGTCGTCTGCTTCGTGTTGATGATGGATCCCAGTGTTGGGGTGAAAGAGCCTGGATCCAGACCCATGTTAAACACTTAAGAAGGACTATAATGTTGAACTTGTAACTTTTATTTTATTTTTCCACTTTTACCTAAGATTTTGTAGCTAGGTACCTTTGTACCTAAGATGGCACCCAGAACAGCGACTGTATACAGTTTTCACTGCCTATATCACTGTACTTGAGTGCATGTGACAATAAAATCTAATTCTAATTTCGCATGATAAAAATAAACCACAACAGATTCCATCAGTAACAGTAAAAAATAATTCCATTTATGTTAACACTTTTTGAAATGAAGAAGAATGGGATTTCTAACTTGGGTATCTTAAATGTTACCTCACACTCACACACGCACATACAAGCACATACAAATACAGACACACACATGCTAATGCACTAACAAACACAACAGAAAAAAAAATCAGTCAAAAACCGAAATATTACGAGCAGATGGACACAATATTAAGAATAATGCAGTTCTGTATCACCAGACCATAATCACAAACCTGGATTTGTGTGTTTCCCAATCCTCAATCCTTTGATGATGCCTCATTAGTTATTACTCAGCGATGATCAGTCTTATAGTTCACTGCTTGCTTGGTTGGACCTTGATTGTGCTTTAGAATTATTTCTTGCAGTTTGTCTGCCTGTAGCTTTTCTGCTCGTTCATAAGAACATTCAAGAATGAAACTTTGCAGAGAAAGAGGAGAGAGAGATCAATACAGATAGCTTCTGGAGGTCTCCTTACTTCTCTCTCTTGCACTGTCTTCACACGGTCAGTGTTAAATTGCAGCCCGACCAGTCAAATGGTTATTACTATGCTGAGCTCTCCTGGTCCCACAACAAATGGTGGCAGAGCATTTGGACTTAATGTCCCCAGAAGTGTGCATTGATCACTTCACTTGTGTTTTCCAAGTTACAAACAACTCCTTGTACTTTCTGCCCATTTTAAAGACAGATTCCATTTTTCTCATTTTCGGTCAATAGTCCAAAAATTAAAAAAAAAGAAGTCTTACAAAAGAGAGGGGAAAAGGAGATGGAATTCTGAGTTGAAAAGAAAGTCAATATAAAATAAAATGGCATCTCTAAAACATCTCTAGCAATAATTACAGTCTGAAGGAATAAAACGCAGTACTCGTTAGAAGTTAATTTTCAGCACCGGAGATGTTGTTCAGAGGTCATTAATTCTTAACATGAAAATTAAAGTCCTAGAATGGGTAAATGTTAATCTTTTCTGTGAATTTAACATGTACTTTTAAGATAAATACTGTAACTTTATTCTGCTCCATGTCTTTCAATGCCAGTTTTTTTGATAGACTGATATGGTGGACTGAATGAGCAGTGTAACCAGAAACATCAACTATGTGGCTCCAGGTTTAATTGTGAATGTTCACTCACTGGAGGTTGTTGCCTGATTAATTCCTCAGTAACACTGAAAACTAATAAACCAATGTTTTTTCATACTTTGCATTTAAATATTTGAAACTTGTGTTTTACCAGGTGCAACTGTTGAAACATCTGTGCAAAATTTTACTGCGAGACCAAATCTATTTCCTGCCCCTACAAACCACATACCCGATATTCATTTCTTCTATATGTAAGTGGACAGAGTGTGTTGAGAGTACTCATCAATCTGTGCAGCTTGATAGTTCTTGGTAATGTACAGAACACAACTGAAGGGTGATTTTCCACACACTGTCTTTCTGAACCCCACTACAACCACAACAACTGAGTGCTTCCCAATGTGGAGAGGAAGCATAATACAGTGACTTAACCTCCATTTTATTTATTTGCCAAATTTCTGTAGTTTGTAAAATGTTTTGTCTTGAGCAATTTGATTCTTCAAAGGCATTGTAAGAGTTATAATGAAAAAGATGTAAGTTAAACATAATGCTGACTTGGAAATATATCGCTGTTCCTTCACCGCCACTAGGTCAAAATCTTGGAATTCCATCCCTGAGGTCATTATGGGTCAACCTACACCAGGTGGACTACATTGGTTCAAGAAGGCAGCTCGCCACCATCTTAAGGGGCAACTAGGGATGGGCAATAAATGCTGGACCCACCTAGTGACACCCACGTACCAGAAACAAATTTTTAAAACAGGAGGGTTGTCACTTCTGATTGTGTTTTGGTAAATTTTTGTAACTAAGTAGGACAATGCGATTTACTACCAAATACAAAACCATTTTCATCCCCCATCATAGACCCCCCCCCCGCCAAAACCTGACCCAACCATATGCAAACCGATCCTCATGCTCTCTGATTGAAATAGGAGGCTGGATGCCATTCTCTCCTCATGCTGTTCCGAGCAGAGTGAGAAACCTTGTGTCCCTTTCATTTCATATCAGACTTCCAATTATTGTGAAGGTCACAGATTGTTTTTGTTTTTTCGGATGTTCTTTTGCTGACTCTGGGTCAGGTTCAGACTGGTTCATGCATGGAGGATTTTGAGGTAAAGCCTGAAGGGGCTTGTTGTCTGATTTATTACTGCAGGTCATCTCTGTCAACAACATCGTGTGAAAATGGGCGTGGAACTGTCATAACAATAAGATGTAATCCGGGAAAGGATGGCAAAGGAGAAATCTCTGTACCAAGGTATTCATTGCAATCGCTGAATAAAAAGTCAAGTTGCCATAGTTCCACTCTCTCTTTAGAAAGAGCGAATGGTGGTGGAATGGCCTAATTCTTCTCCTTTATTTTACAGCTTAATCTGAGGGTCATCATGCCTCAGTGAAGGGAGAGGTTACCCTCGCGGTAATGGGAGTCAAACCCACGCTGTTGGCATCACCAAACCAGCTTTCCATCCAACTGAGCTAACTGACCTGCTGTTGCTGAATCTAACATACATGTAGTGACACGTCACAGTATTAACATTACAACATATGGCAATGAGAACAATTGTATGCACCAATTCACTCATGTTAAAATGGCTGCCTTTAAATAATGAAAACATTCAAGCTCCCATTTTCTTTTCTTTTTTTCCCTCCCTCCTGGTGTTTTTTATTTCTCCCCATACCTCTCTCTGTTTCTCCTTGCTCTCTCTTCCTTGCTTTCGCACTCTCGATGTTTCTATTTCTCTCATTCACCTGGTGTCCTGTTTACTCTCCCCCTTCTCCCTCTTTCTCTAGCTCTCTCTATCTTTCACTTCATCTCCCTCTCTCTCTGTGTGTCTCACTCTCTCTCTCGCATTTTCTCTCTCTCTCTCGCATTCTCTGTGTCTCTCTCTCTCTCGCATTCTCTCTTTCTCTCTCTCTCTCGCATTCTCTCTCTCTCTCTCTCTCTCTGTGTCTCTCTCTCTCTCTCTCTCGCATTCTCTCTTTCTCTCTCTCTCTCGCATTCTCTCTCTCTCTCTCTCTCTCTCTCTCTCTCTCTCTCTCTCTCTCTCTCTCTCTCTCTCTCTCGCTCTCTCTCTCTCTCTCTCTCTCTCGCTCTCTCTCTCTCTCTCTCTCTCTCTCTCTCTCTCTCTCTCTCTCTCTCTCTCTCTCTCTCTCTCTCTCTCTCTCTCTCTCTCTCTCTCTCTCTCTCTCTCGCATTCTCTCTCTCTCTCTCTCTCTCTCTCTCTCTCTCTCTCT